ATCAGAAAGAAGTTGATTATACCCATAAAAATCATATCACTATTGCATGAGTGGACACAACTCATCTAATAGATAGGTAGATAGCACCTAGACTCTTTTTATCTCCCTTCTAGGCAAATGGTCCTTCCCTCCTGGTAAATCCTGTGTTGCCACAAAATCCAGGCAATGAGGCCAGAGTAGCTTGCATCATCACATGTATTTCTGTATCAGCTAAGCAGTCTGTGGACAATGATTCAGATGCCTCTCATAATAACCTAGAGAGGCATTATATAATGCACCTCTAGAAAAGAGAAAATGAGCCCTGAAGAAGTTCAACTGTCCCGGTTAACCTGGCAAGTTTTCTAGTAACTAATCACTAAAGGATCCTTGATGTGTACCTGGATTTGTCTGCCCTCAGCTCAGAACAAGCTTTCTGCACTTATGTGGGGTCTATGGTGCAGATACTCTCAGTCCCTGTTAATACTACAACTGCCAAAAAATGGAGAAAACTTCTCCTGATGAGCTGGCAGGTCAAGCAATCACAGGCTATTGCTTAAGACAAAATCACATTATTCAGAGAGCTACCAGCTTGAGATGGCCTCCCTGTCTAGTTTGCTGGTGGTTATTCAGCCATTCAGAGCTTCTGGTATCTTAATTTTGTGGTTTGGCCTTGGAGTGCTACAAAGATCATTAAGTTAGAAATACTTCAAAAATAAAACAACAAAAACAAACCCAGGATCTTACTTTGTAGCCTTGACTAGCCTGGAACTTGCTACATTGACCAGGCTGTCCTCAAACTCAGAGACCTGTCTGTTTCTATCTTTCCAGTACTGGAATTAAAGATGTTCACCACCAAGTCCAGCAAAAATCACTTTCTAAACATAGACAATTTCTAATAAATACCAACATCTCTAGATAAATTAATCAGGATACGCATGAACACGCATGGAATTTATACACACTCACCTATGCCCTTAGCATTGTTAAAGCTACACTGAGACTACAATCAAGTCTTGGCCATTACTGGCTCATGGCTGACATAATAATCTTAATGTGACCATTGATTTTTCCTCCCTAGCAAAAGAGCAGGTTCAGTATTAAACATTTTCTGCAAGGCTGGTACCATAGAGAACTCACTACATCACACACACACATAAATAAAGAAGGCTTTTACTGTAAATATAGAATACAGAAGAAATGTTTTTTATAGGAAAAGTGGTCACCAAAGATAGCAGAAAGAATGTGCATGCATATTTAATTGGGGGTTTCTGGGCAGAGGAGTTATCTCAGATGGTAAAGTGCTTGCTGCACAAGTACAAGGACATGAGTTCAAATCCCCAAGTGAAAATCATCAAGGTGGTATATGCCTGTAGCTCCAATACCTACTGGGTAGAGACAGATGGATCCAGGTACTCCCAGGCAAGTTAGTTTAGTGAAAAAGTGAATTCGAGGTCTATTGAGAGACTGTCTCAAAAAATGAATTGGAGACTTTATTGAGGAAGACATCCCAAGAACAACCTGCTTATACAGGGCAAAAACAAACTTGGAGGAAAAGGGTTTGTTTTATCATAGACCTTATAGTTTATAGTCTATCTCTGAAGAAAGCCAAGGCATGAACCCGGAGCAACCCAAAGTGTAGAAATGCTGCTTACTGGCTTGTTCTCCATGGTTAGCTCAGCCTATTTTCCTACAAATAGAACAGGACCACCTGCCCAAGAATAGCACCACCTGAATTAGACTGGATATACTCACATTAATTATAAATCAAGAAAATGCCCCACAGACATGCCCACAGGCCAACCAATATTCTCATAAATAGCTAGGCTTGCTGGCAGGGTTTCCTGGGATCTGCCACTCACCTCAATGCTCCGGTTACAGACATTCTGATGTTCAGTCATGCCTAGATTTTATATGTGGTAGCTTGGGATTTGAACTCAGGTATTCATGCTTGCTGAGCAAGAGCCCTTACCCACTGAGCCATCTCCCTAGTGTTCATAGCAACTTATTGCTCTCTTCAGAGGATATGGGTTGGATATAAAATTAAGTGGTCGATTTCATAGGGATCTAGATAGATTTTTAGCAGTTTTGAATGCTATTTAAGAACCGTCCCTCCCTCATAATCAGAAACTTGTTAAGCCAGAAATTGAAACCCCAAGGCTTTGATTATTGGCAAAAGAATAGAATCGATGACACTTTTTTTTTTGCAAAATGTTTATTCTACAAATGTACTGCATTCAGAGGGTGTTAACACTTTAAATGTTTATCGTTTCTTAGTAATGATAATAAACATTTTTATCAGAAATGTAGCTAACAATTGATTATTAATAGGTTTTAATAGATCTAAAGTTCTCACAAATTTTAGTACAGGTAGTTTTATTGTATGTTTCATCTAGTAAATGATTAAAATTAACAGTATGTAGAACTAATTGTTTCCAACTGAGCAAATATACCATGTTACCAAACCACCAACCCAAAAGGGCTTGCCAAGCTGAATCAATTAGAAAGACATAATTGATTGGGGTTACAGGAATTTGCAGTGTTTTCAAAGCTCTTCAGAATTACCCAGAAAAACAAATCTCTGACACTTAGTTGTTGGAAGATCAGTTTCACAGTAATATAAACTAATTTGCATTTACATTCATTTTAAATATATTACTATGGTATTGACTTCACCATGGTGCTTTCCAGTGTGCACTATTTACAGTTTCAAGATTTACATATGTAACTCACTGATGTAAGGGATGGTCATTACCTCTGTAACTAAACCTGGGCAGAAAAATAAACCACTACCCTACATACACTATAAAAATGGTATGACTTCTAAAAGATGAATGCAACACGGTTTTTCATATTTCAGCTGTTTTCTAAATACCAGTATGTAAACTTGCATATTTAATATATAAAAACTATCACTTTATTCACTGATAAATTATGCATTTATTTTGCTCAACCATCTCTCTCAATTTATCTCAACAATTTCTTGACTTGCTGTTTGAGTCAGTGAATCATGAACTATGTTTCTTGGTGGGGAGGGGAAAAGATGACAAACACTGTCAAAAGAAAATAAACCTCCCCAAATTAATTCTTACATTTTTCCCTTTTATATCATTTAAAAAAGTCAGTTACATTGCTTAATCTTTCTCTTTTTTTTGAGACAGGGTCTCTCACTAGGTAGTTCTGGATGGACTGAATCTCATGTAAACCAGGTGGGCCAAGAATTTAGATCCACCTGCCTTGGCCTATGAAGCTGGATGAGGATGTGTATGACTCCCAATCTAGAAGCACTTTTTATTTTTTTAACACCAATACTAATAAATTAATGGCAAATCAGTACCATCCTGCATCCTAAAATTCTAATCCATCCTAAAATTCTAATTTCCTTGATAGAAGAATAAAATTTTCAATAATCCATTATAAGGTTTAGGTTAGATCTATGATTTGATTAAGTTTGTCTAAGTAGTGGGAAATCACAATCCAGGAAATGGTGTGTTATTTTCGTTGTAGTGGTGAAGACTCAAAGAACAGAGACTAACAAACCAGTAAAACAATTTGTCTCCATTTTAAAGAGAATTTTAAAAAGTCACAGGGCAGTTTGAACCTCTGAAATCTATTTGACCTATCCAGTATTCAGGTGTGGAACAGAATTTGTCAATTTCTTTTGGATCATCTCTATCCTTTTCTTGAATATCAGACTGATCCGTACACAGAGATTCAGACACAATCAGAGCTTAATAGCTAGCAGTACAATACAACAGTTTTTTTGTTTGATTTTTTATTAGTTTAAAATTAGGAACAATCTTGGTTCACATGGCAATCCCTTCTCCCTCTCCCTCCCCTCCCCTGCATGCCCTTCCCATCAACTTTACAATACAGTATTAGTAATTTCAAAAATCAAACTAAATTCCAAACTACAAAAAGATGTACTCAAGTATTACATTC